GAAGGTCCCCAAGGGAGACCAATTGTTGGAGGAGTCCAAGACTTTCAGCCCAACATCCCAGCTCTGAGGTCCCCCCAGGGAGGGGGCAGGGCTGGGCTCCAAACCACTGGGTGGCTAAGACCGGCAGCTCCACGGCTGCCTTTTTATTTCACAGAGGAGATGAGGTATCTGCACCCCAGAGGGTCTTTTGAGAGAGAAATAAAACCACCACCAAAAAAAAAACACAGCAGCACTAGATCTGCAAGACAAAGCGCTACACACGCTCACGACAAATAAATCAAACCGCAGCATCTTGCTCGTGTTTTAACCCCCTGCAGTTACCAGGGAAGACATACAAGCCCTAGATTTTCTTTCCTATTTGAACCGGTGGCTAAAAATACCACCCTCGGAGCCCAATGTGAAGTAGGGCAGCTCCGCACCAGGCGTTGCACATTAAAGTTTCAGGAGGTGCTGTGTTACGGCCACTCCACAGCCAGAGGGGAAGGGTTTGAACCCATTCCACAGGCCTGAAGGAACACTTTTGCCCCAGGATAGAGTTTCCTGAGCATCCATGGGATCCAAGATGCTTTTTTTTTTTCCTCCCCCCTCCTGGATTTCACTCGTCCTTCTGCAATTTGAGGCCTTGGCTGAAACAAGACAGAGGCTGTGATTATCTCGATACTAGTAACAAGGTTCAGAGGGAAAAGACCCAGGATCTGGCTATTCCTCAAAGCAGGAGATTAAGTGGCTCCTATCTGCCTCTGTCCTGGCTACACATGGCCCCAACAGCTGGGCTGGGACTCAGCCTTTATCAGAGAGCTTCCTCAGCCAGAAATTAAGTCCAAGAGCCATAAACATACTAAATATTTACAGCGAGAGGAGCAAGGGAGTGACTGCACCAGCCTCTGCTCCGAGCAGAGCGAGAACTTCTCGGCAGCTTTTGCCAGCACCCCGGAAAAGCTTCTTTATACCCGAGATACCTCCCACAGAGGGCAAGGTACTCAGGAAGGAAAACATGCAGCAGGGTGTCATGTAGGGGGACCCCTACAGAGGGCCAGGCTCCACAGGGGAAAGGCAGCTCTCAGGGCAGAGCCCCTTTCCCAGAAGGGGTTCATAACATGGGAGGGCAGATCCCCACTGGAAAATGGCACCTGCTTTAGCAGGCCCAACAGAGGGATGCTTGCAGGGGGCAGGACCTACAGACTGCTCCTGTCAAAGAACAAGAACATCAGGGATGAGCTAAGGGAAGTGCAAATCCCCTACAGAAAGGGCAGTCTCAGTGGAGAGAGACCTTATAGGGGCAGGTAAAGGCAGCCCCTGGAGGCAGTATTGGGGAGAGGAGATCCCCAAGGGAGGAGAGTCTCTAGAGTAGGGCACATCCAGGCTAGAGGAGATCCCTTACAGGGGAGCAGCCTAGGCAGCTCCCTAGAAGATCTGCTATAGGGCAGGTCACACCCTGGGGAGAAAAGCCCCCATGGAGACTGCTATAGGACAGAGCACACCCCAAGGAGAAGGGTACCTGTAAAGCCAGCCCCTATAGGACCTGCTCTAGGGCAAGGTTCACCCCACAGAGGAAAGCACTTGCAGACCCAGCTCCTATAGGCTCTGCAAGAGATCAGGGAATGCTCAGGAAAGGACACCACCTCCAGCCCATGGGGCAGCACACATCCCAGGGATGACCACTTCTATGGTCCCAGCCCCTATGGGCTCTGCCACAGGGCAGGGCTCACCCGGGAGAGAACAGCTCCTATAGGACCCTCCATGGTATTTACCCAATGAAGGGGAGCCCTAGGGCCCATATAGGGCTGGCCGTGGGGCAGGGCTCACCCGGGGGAGGAGAGACCCTACGGCCCCATGGGATCTGCCATGGGGCAGGACCGGGAGCAGAGCGCCCGCCC